GATATGAAAAATTGTGCTCCATATGTGTAATAAGAATTGCAATGCATTCTACTGTCATGTATTTATAAAATAAAATCAATAAAAAAGATGTGCCTGTTCTTGGAGGACAGTGAAGGAGAAAACCTGTACAAGTGTGTAGGGAAGGGCAGGGCCCCTCCCTATACCTGTCAGCAGCCACTGGGACAAATGGGACAAATTGCTTGGTCTCCATGAAGCAAACACCCTGTTTCTCTGGCACACCCAGGACCTGTGGCCACCAAAGTGGGTATGTGGGATAGAAGTTCCTGGCCTCCTATCTACTGTAGCAATACTCACATGGTTCTGGGAAATTCTGTCCCAGGAGTGTATCTACAGGGTGTGTGTAAAAGACAGTGGAGTGCAGAATAGGCAGGCTTTCTTTAGGAAGAGTTGAAACATGCATCATGCACTGGCTCACCAGTGCCGCCCTCATCTTGCCACTCTGTGGTCTTCATTAAAAAAATTTTAGACTAAAGTTTCTATCGTTACAATTGCCCCCTGGGCTGTGCAGCCATCTGGGAGCACTGCAAGTATTAAAAAGTATTCAATATGGGATCTCCGAAGGGTGGGGGAGGAAGCTTCTTTTCCAGCCTTCTCCATTATGCATGGACGGGAGATCATTGTCTGGCTAATGGTCATTACAGAGACCTGCAAGCCACTGGGATTCCAGCCTTGAGGTTATGAACAGCGTGCTCAGAGGTCATACGGTGATGGGTAAGATGAGAGCAGGAGGGAGAGGGAATGTGGTTGAGGCAGTTCCTGGGATATTTGGGGAAGGTGGAGAGTCTCTAAAGGAGGCACTCCTGAGGATGTGAATGTGCTCTGGCTAATATCACCGACCTATCATTATTTTGTGTGAGGCCATCTTGGATAAACCTAAGTAGGACATGCCTACTACATTTGTGTTTCCTCACAGTCTTTTTATTTACATTATATTGTTTTTGCAATAGTTTTGTGTTGTAGAAAGGGCAAATATTATATTTGCAAATAAGGAAGCCAATATGGATTAGCTCTTCAGCAGCTCAGAACAAAGACTGATACTATTTTCCTGACTCCCAATTCCATCCTCTTTCTACTGTTTTAAGCTTCCCTCTGCAGTAACAAGACAGGGAAGGCACCTTCTGCACGTGGTTATCCTGGTCTTCAGCTGCAGAACACGCCTGCTGTGTTTCTGAGGATCTGGTACCACAAATTTAGTCTACATTGTCATCGTTTCTCTTGTAGAAAGCACTTTGGTCTTCAACAAACACTAGATTTGAGAAGAAATGACCAGAATGGACTAAAGTTTCCTGCTTTTAGGATATTCTGAATCTGGTTTTCTCCTGGAGGTGATGTTTCATTTCTGGCCAGAGTTCCCATGGTAGACACAGAACTCTGAAATGAGTGACTTTCTTCCCAGAGAGAACCTCAGAGTGAGAAGTGTTTTGCCAGCAGAGTGGCCTCTGTAATGACCATTAGCCAGACGTGACTTTTGGTCTTGTGTGTCTAACCTCAAACTCAGTGGCAAAAGAGCAATAGGAAATCTCTTGAGAACTATAAGATTTCCAACAACTAAATGGACCAAATTCATAGCAAGTGACATTGGTTTGTTTCCCTCCAGTTTTAACCAATATTCAGAACATGCACAGAACCAGGCCTCAAATGTGGTAATGGTGGTGGGGGGCAGTGTGCTTTCTGACCATCAAAACACATCACCTGTCCACTGGATGCTAATATGGATGAGGATTTTTGGTTTTCCTTAAAGATCTCCTTATATACTTGTAGTTCATATATGTTAACCCTTTTTAGGTTCACAGAAAATTGAGTAGAAAGTGCAGGGTGCCTTGTTTCCACACATGCATGGCCTTCCTGTCATCAATGTCTCATGCCAGAATGGTATGTTTGTTACGACTAATGAACTTTCATTGACACATCATTATCATTTCAAGTCCATAGTTTGTGAGGTTTTGCTCTTGATGCTGTACATTCTATGGGCTTTGATACACGTATAGTGACAAGTATTTGCTATTGTATTGTACTGAACAGTTTCTCTGCTCTAAAAATCTTGTGTGTTCTGCCTATCTGTCTTTCCCATTTTGTCCCTGGAAGCTACTAATATTTTCATCATCTCCACAGTTTTGTCTTCCAGAATGTCATATAGTTGGAATCATATAGTATACACCCTTTTCAGATTGGTTTCTTTTACTTAGTAAAATATGTTTTCATGGTTTGAAAGTTCATTTTTTTGTAGTATTGAATATTTCATTGACTGGGTGTACCAAAGTTTATCCATTGAACTTCTGAAGGACATTTGGGTTGCTTTAAGCTTTAGCATTAAAAATAAAGTTCCTATACATATCCATTTGCAGATTTTTATATGGACCTAAGTTTTCATGTAGGCATATATTAAGAAGCATAACTAATGGATTTTGAATCTTTGTCAAAGATCAATTGATAAAATTTATGTGAATGTTTCTGGGCTTTATGTTTTCTTCATTGATTTGTCTATTTGTTCATAGATACCACTTATTATACTGCATTTTAATAGTAAGTCTTGAAGTTAGTGTTATTATTCTACCTTGGATCTTCCTTAACATTAATTCAGCTATTCTGAGTCTTTTGTCCATCTATATAAACTTTAAAATTGGTTTGTCATTAGCCACAAAATATCATGCTAGGGAACTGATTGGAATTTAATTGAATACATAGGTTAAGCTGGAAAGAACTGGCATTTTAAAATATTATAATAATATCCATACATACAAATTACTTCTCTATTATTTACTTTAAAATATTTTTAATCAAAGTTCTTTAGTTTTCCTTATATATATCTTGTACATATGTTTTAAATTATACCCAAGTATTTCATTTTTTTGGGTTCTGATGTAAGTTTAAATGATGTAAGTGCATTTTAAATTTCCAATTCTATTTGTTCATTGCTAATATTTAGGAAAGTTATTTGGTATTTTATATTAATCTTGTATCCAACAGTCTTTCTTGTAATTGCTTATTAGTTTCAGGAGGCTTATTGTGAGTCTTGTTCAATCTTGTTATCTATGAACAAAGACAGTTTTATTTCTTCCTTCCCAATCTGTATATCATTTATTTCTTTTTCTTGTCATATCGCATTAGCTAGGACTTCCAGTAAAATGTTGAAAAGAAGGGATAAGTGGGGACATTCTTGTATCTGATCTTAATGGGAAAGCTGCAAGTTTCTCACCATAAGCTTGATGTTAGCTATAATTTTTTTTAAATGATGTTAGCTGTAGATGTTCTTTTTTTAAAGCTAATAAGAACATATTTTTAAAATTTTTAATTCTTTAGGTATTAAAAAATAGCTAAACACAAAGTACAGAGCAGAAAACCCTCATTTAATATAGATTTTGGAAATTAAAAAACTTGTAACAAAGTGGCTTTTTATCCCACACTAACATGTAAATAAAATTTCTTTCCCAGATTTATATCCCAAAGTGGGTAACAACCTAAAATCTGTGAAAAATCTATCATGTCCAATTAAAATTACCTGGGAAAAACTAGGAGAAAGGATTATTAATCAGAACCAGTTGCACACAGATGGAAAAATGCTTGCAGTCACTCCCAAATATTACCCTACAATATACATAAATCATAATGAAAATAAAAGTGCCTACACTATGGAACTGTGAAATTGTGTTTAAAAAATAATAAAAATAAATTGTTAGGTATTCTTGGAGTATTATAACACATAAGGCAGGAAAATACTGAGTTACAGGTTAGACTCAAAACACAAAGTTGACTTGAAAAAAAAAAGGTTATCATAGAAATACAGGACAGGCAGGAAAGCAGGTCTTCCAGCAGGATGGATGGACTTTTAGACACACAGACACATCCCACCTCATCCTAACTTACTCTACCTCATTGTAAGTTTTAGCTGTCATAAAAAGGAGAGGGGTAGTGTTAAACCAAAGTACCAAACTTATACCTAAACTTCATGTCCCAGTGAACTTATTGGAGGAAAGTTCTTGACAATGCAGTTTGTCCACCTGGTTCTTCCCTTCAGCAACATCACCTTCATTTTTCTGTGTGACATTTACTCTGTGACTACTCTCAGCAAATCCAAACTCCTGGAATCAGAGTCTAGTGAACATAGGACATCATACTGGAGTCAAATGAAGAACATATATTAATCAAAAGCTCTAAGTTAACAACCAAAAGTGTAGATCTCAAATTCTTATTTTCAATTCAGCATCAGAAACAGTATTTGGCACTAGCTGGATAAAAAAAATCTGTGAGCTGAGGCAGTTGTAGTTAAATCATAAGCCACTATTTGTAGTCTACGATTTGGTTTCAAACTTAAAGGGCTAGTATAGATAGCCACACTTAAAAATTACTTCAGAGTTGGAGAATAAACAGTAATAAGATACAAACAAAACCAGGCAAATTAGTTTGGCAAACAAAAATTCAGGTTAAGGGTGGGGTCTGAGCCAACTATATCCATCTAATAATGAGCAAAAATGGGCGTTGTTTCACCATTAAACTCGTTTTGATTACAGGCAGATTTCTTTTTATTCTAAAATTTTTCTATATCCGCTTTTCCTAATCCATGCCACTGAATGAAAAACCATTTATTCTATCAAGAAATACAGCATAGTTGGCCATAGTCTAAATATGGTTGACTGGAAAATTATGTCACACAAAAAAATCTTGCCATGTTACATCATTACTCTATGGTAATTCATTGGTGCTGGGATCTGCCCTCACCAAAAAGCATGGCACTCACTGCCCAGTTTGAACATAGCACTACACAGAGAGAAGCAGTAACAGCAAAGTCTATAGAACTCTATTTATTTGTGTGTGAGCATTCAGTGAATGCTCCAAATCGAGAACGGTGCAATAAATGCAACTTTTCATATAAAGACAAGAAGGTGTGACGCCAGTGGCCACTTGGCACTTCAAACAGAGAATTAAGCAAGAGTGATGCATGAGTAGGCAAAGGAGAAAAGGGAGGCACAAGGAGGCAGGTTTCAGACAGACAGTGCCATGAAAATGTTGTACTGCTGGATGTTTCGTTTGAGGATATCTGAGCATGGGCCAAGGACACGTTCAAATCGAAGTCGATCCAGCTTCACACACTTCAAGGGGCCACATGCAACCACCGTGGCCGCACGAGGATGATTCTTCAGCAGTGCAATTTCACCAAAATAATCAGAAGGCCCCAATCTTCCCACTTCAACAAAATCTTCGTTTTCTGACCGACGTTGCAGCACGGCAGCCGACCCCTCCAAAATAATGAAGAACTCGTCTCCTGGTTCTCCCTGCACCATGATGTTCTGTCTGTCTTCGAACTGGACGGGTTCCAAGGCATCGGCTACAGTGAGCCGTTCCCACTTGTCCAAAGACTCTAAAATTGACACTTTACTGAGGAACTCTTCGTACATCTTGCGCTTTTTCAGTGTGCTCCCCATAAGGATTCTTCGATAGCTGTTTCGGTCAATCCCCCACAGTTTCACGTTTGTCTTTGCTTTGACAGTGGCTGCTCTAGGTGTTCCATAAATCAGAGCAAGTTCTCCAAAGCTCCCTCCTTCCCCGATGATGGTGGTCCATTCATTGTTGACGTAGACGTCCATCTCTCCCTGATCGATCACATAGAAGTTATCCCCGTCATCGCCCTGCTGAATAACCGTCTCTCCAGCGGTAAAAGAGACGGGAAACATGGCGTAAAAAATATCATTCTTCTCATTTTCATCCAGGTGTGAAAACAGCACGTTCTTTTCAATGGCTTTGGCTAAAGCAGCTATTGTCTTAAAATCTTTGGGTATGACCTTTCTAACAAAAGACACAGCGTCTTCCTCCGTGTAGACTTCGGCGCTGATGGCGCCCCGGCGCCGCCGGCCCTTAACCACGGGCTGGGGCTGGGCCGGAGCGGGATGGGGCTGGGCGGGCGCGGTCTCCTCCGCCTTGGCGCCCGGGCAGGGGCCCGGTGTCTGCTGACTCTGGGTGAGTCTGGCCTCCTCCTTCTCCAACTTCTCAAAGTATTCCCGGAGGAACGTCACGGGTCTCTCGGGCCGCGCCGTGCACAGCTGCACGACGGAGTCCTTGAGCAGGGCCTGGATGTTGTGCTTCTGCGCGTACAGCTCGCACTCGCGGAGGCTGCGCTCCTCCTCACTGGCCGCGGTGCTGCCGGACGCCATGCTTCCTTAGGCCCCGGTCACGACCCCCCGGACCGAGCGAGCCGACCCCGCATCCCAGGCCAGTGGGAAGGCCTCCGTGATGGCGAGGAGGCCTGCGGCCCGGGGGGATGGGGAGCGGAGGGGCAGGGGGAGGCGCCCGGGGAAACGGAGGAGCCAGACCCAGACCACCGCGCGGGGTACGGCGCAGGCAGGCCCGCGAAGGAGAGGGAAACGGATCTCGGGGAATGGCTAGAGGGAAGGGTGGACGCGAGGATTCCTGCCGAGCCTCGAGATCAGCCGAAACCGGCGGGGAAAACGATGGCGGATTCCGGTAAAACCAAGCTGTTGTCCTTCCGGAAATGCGAATTTCCTTCCGGAAATTCCGGGAGGGCGAGCGAGCGAGGACGCCGCGAGGAAGCCAAGGTGCGCGAGGCCCCACGTCCGAGAGCAGCCAAGAGCGTCCGAGAGCGTCCGAGAGCGTCCGAGAGCATCCTAGAGCGTCCGAGAGCGTCCGAGAGCAGCCAAGAGCGGCCGGGTGGTGTGCTACATGGGGCCTTAGATGGAGATTCTTTATGAAGTTAAGGAAGTTCAACTCTATTCTTGTTTTGCTAAGAATATTCTTAGCTTGACTACTTGGAGTTTGCCAAATGTTTTTTCTACATCTGTTGGTATGATCCTATGATTTTTCTTTAACCTGTTGATAGGATGGATTCTCTTCAATTTTGAATGTTGAATCAACCTTGGACACCTTAAATTCCACTTGTTCTTAGTGTATCATTCTTTTCAAACATTATTGGATTTGATTTGCTGGCATTTTGTCCAGAATTTTTGCATCTGTATTCTTGGTCTGTAGTTTTTGTTGAATGTCTTTGTCTTATTTGGATATTAGGTATTGCTGTTCTAATAAGTTGGAAAGACTAGGGGGATTTAAAGCATGGTACATCCCTTCTCCGAGATAGCTTAGGTTCTGATCAAACTCCAGTGGGTTACGATCTAGTAAGATAGTTTCTCCTGAAGTCAGAAAAATAAGTGCTGAGTGCACTGGTGTATTTTAAAATGATTCCCTTTTCAGTTTTCCTGCTGAAAGTATAAGGGGATCCAATCTTCTCTGATTCACCGTGTGGACCTGGTCAGTTTCCTGGAGGTAAAACTTACAAAAATACAGAGACCCTCTCTGATTGGGTCATATGGAATCTTAACTGTTAGACTGGTCCACACTGAGTTTCCAGCAATTCATCAATTATAGTTCAAGTTTGCCTACAGCACTGGTTCCTGAGTTGCAAATTTCTATGTCTGCCGGTTGGTCTCTCCAATTCTCAGGGCAGAGGTTTGCCCTATGACCTTACTTTCTCTGACAGATTTAAGTAGAGTTACTGATTTTCAGTTTGTTCCGCTTTTTTACCTAGGATAGAGTACAGATTTCCAAGCTTCTTACATGCCAAAGTGAAAACTGGAAGTCTCTGTCCGTTTGTATCTTTAAAACATACTTTTCAATCCTTCACCACATAGTATTTCTGTTCTATAATATTGACTAAAACCGGAGGAAAATTTTATGGTAGGATCATTTGCAACTTTCAGGCTCCATTCTTTGGAGGAAATTATGCAGACAGAAGCCTAATCTTTCAGGAGTTTGATTCTATTTTTTGCAACTTTCTTTCCAAAGTTAATTGACTTTTTTTTTTTTTTTTTTTTGGTTCAAAGTTGTTAATTGAAACATAGTGAATGAGTTGTATTGTTAACTGATGTTTTGAGTCATGAACAAAGGAGGAGTTGCTATTTGGGAGCCTCTGATGAATTAGCAGAATGATGAATTCTTGAAGTACAAGAATTGAAAGATTGCAGACACTAAGGTGCTATTCCTAGGAATTCTAAAAGTTTTGTAAGTATCTCGACAAATAGGATCACATAAAGGGGAAAAACTGGAGCTGTCTGCCTTTCTTTTACTGTCTTTACTTCAGATGTAATAAGAAAATCACTACATTTATGATAGTACTACATATTTGGGTTTAGTAGGAATAACTGAGAAATGCTTTCCAACCAAATAAAGACCCAGAAGAGAAAAAACTTAGTTTTTAAAATAAGTCTCATAGAAGATATTTATCTAAAAAATCAGATTAATTGGTATAAATAAAAACTAATATCGTCCTTCCATATTAGTATATGGTATTAACATTTAGTAGATTCTTAAATATTGAGTGCTAGATGAGCAATTATTTCTGCTTAGATTTTTGGTTTAGTTTGTTTTTGCATTTTCATGTGTGTGTGTGTGTGTGTGTGTGTGTGTGTGTTTTCAGTGCTGAGGATTGAACCCAGAACCTTGTGCATGCCAGGCAAGTGCTCGACTGGTCTGAGCTATACTCCCAACCCTTCACATTTTCTTGAGGCAACTAATACTATAACCTAGTGGTCAGGAGCATATCTCATATCTCAGAAGTGGACTGAAAACTTGCTGTCCATTTACTGTGAGTGTGACCGAGGACAAATTAATTAAGCCATCTGCTGTGGTTGGAATGTGGATTTCCCCCAAGGTTTCAGGTGCTGGACACTTGGTCCTCACTGTGGCAATAATGGGAGATGAAACTTTGAAAAGGAGGTGGCACCTATTTGGAGGTCTCTAGGTCCATGGGAGGCGTGCCTTCGGAGGGGATTGTGGAACCCAGTTACTCTGGCGAGGTGATCTCTCCCACTCTGATCTGCCATTAGGCCCACATCAGAGTCCCAGCCAGGGGGCCTGCCCAGTCTTGGACTTCCATCCTCCAACTGTGCGCTAAGCATCTTTTCTTCAGAAGTACCTGGCTTCAGGTATTTCATTCTAGTAACAAAAATAAAACAATACAAAACAAAAAAACAGACTAGTACTCCTTTCCCCACTGGTTTGTTCTTGGGCAGAATGGGGATTGAAAGTCATTTTCTCCCGGGGATCTCATGAGGATCCAACGGGATAGTTTCAGTAAGTGTTCAATCCATGTTAGTTATTTGTATTTTAAAAAGAACACTTCATTCAAAGACATACAATCTTATGAAGATTATTGTGATTATTGATGAAACCCCTAAGACATTTGAGACTTTGGAAGAAAACCTACCTCTCAGTGTTTACAGAAGAGCACAGGGAGCTGCTTTTCTTCAGATCTGTCGCAGTGTCTTCCATGACTGTGAAAGGTGGTGTTTGTCCTTGGGGTCACCCATTCCCAAGGTGGGTGCACATGGCCTTCTCCTCTAGGCTAATGTAAATGGAGACTAGAGTTGAGGGGGGAAAAAGAGCTGCAACCAGGGAGGGTAGGCAGCAGGGGAAAGATGGAGAACCCTGGATCTCTTTAGCTTTCCGACAAAGAGTGCACATTGGGTGAGCAGAATCTCTTTCCTGTTTGAGCCAGTGGTTTGGCAAACTTTCTGATAATGACTCTATTTGGCTTTGAGGGCCATAGAGTCTGTACACAACTTCTCATCTTGTGAAGTAGAAGAGCATCTCAGACAGGAGAAAAACTGACTGTGGCCATGTTTCAATAAAATCTTACTTCTAGAAACTGATGGCGGGCAGGAGTCGCCAGCCTCTGATCTGGAGTTCTCCCAATTTGCAGGTAAATAGATGGAGTTTTCTAGCTCCATCTATTTACCTGCAAATGCCATGGTTTTATTCTTTTATTGCTGTCATCCCAAGGGTGATGGAGAACGTTCATTGCTTTCGCCAGACAGCTGTCTCTGATGGAAGTGGGAGGCCATTTCCCCTCCTGGATATCTCTTCATCCTTTCTCACACCACATCTCCTGCCCACCACTTAAGTGTATAGTAATGACTCAAGAGGTCAAGGCTTGGTTCCATCCTGAAGCACAGCAGGATATGTGCAAGCCTGGCCC